GACATCATTCGCGTTGCTATGGCTTTACAATAGAGTGTCAACATGTAAAGCCTACCGGCAAAGGCTTACCTTCGTTTCACATCAATTTAATTTTACCATATTTTAATGATGGCTAAATCTAGTATGATATTAATGATGTACATTTCCCCCTGTATTATTAAGTGTTAAATTTCCTTAATTAGTGTCATTGTGCTCAATAATTTGGCCTGTTATGGCCTACGCTAATTTGAGGCTAGAATTTATTTTTCAGCTAGAGCTTATTTTGAGCTTCATCTGTTATGGTTTTGACAAGTGTTTCTTTCAGACAAAGACGTGAAGTGGAAACCTATCTACTCATTATGGACAAGAGCAGTAAGGTAATTTCTCACTGCATTGGACGATATGAAAATTATCCTTCACTATTTGGTTTCTTGATCGAAATATCAACAATGAATGACGAATACATTTCAACTGCCAAATTTCAAAAGATTTACTCAGATGACATCGAGTCTGAATTTGTGCTAGAAATTCTACACTTCACGTTGTTGGGCAATCTGATGAATTCATAAACATGCTTGAAACACTTTAAGCTTTAGACATATACACCCTTGTAGCAAACGATGGATTAACTTCTTCATTCCCTAACGTTGAAATAGCACTACAGACATACTAGTGTTAAATGATAAATAATTCGACTGAAGAGAGGAGTTTCTCGAAGATGAAACATCTAAAGAGAGTAACAGATGTACAGTGGCACAAAAGCGACTAAATAAACTTGCTTCCATGGCAAGCAACTTAAAACGATGTTCTCAAGAACTTTCAATTTTTACTGATGTTTGGGAGCGATTTGTTTCCATGAAGTTATGCAAATCAGATGTTTGAATTATTTTCAGCCTTGTAAAAGTAAATATAATTTTCTTTGAAATTTTTCCTTTAGAAAGTACTGCTGCAGCCTCACCGTACCTGCACCCCAGGGCACTACAAAACCTTAATTCGACGCTGGGAAAACGGAAGAAAAAAATCAGCTTTCACAAACTTAATGGTGCGGAACTAACCCGGTCCAAAATTATAGAAGCGCATAATTAGAAGAAATTCGGTTTCTTCGAGAGATAAACTTTAGGCTATGAAATTCCCCACAGCTTGTCTGGGTCGGGAAGTCGTAAAGAGGATGATCTCGAAACACGTTTGGAATATCTGACGAGAGATCCGCACAGCAGGCTACTTTCGCAAGGCCATGAAGCTAACCAAAGGTAGGTGGCTTGAATATATTGAATAGCTGGTAATTTTGCCCTTGGAGTTTAACCGCTTGGAAAAGTTTGCCAAGAACTGGTGGAAGAGCAAAACGATTGAAAAAAATTTAAAGCTGCCGCCATCGTCACCGCCCAAAGAGAAATGCGAATTGGGAAGAAGAATAAACGAAGATCTTAGACTGCATGTACTAAGGAAAATTCCAACGACGTTGGTTTTAGCTAAGCAAAGTAAATTTGCTTCATTAACACCGGATTTCAGAGACACTTAAATCGTAATTGATGAGAAAGGGGCATCTGGGAATAACATGACCCCGTGGAATCTGAGCTTTTTCAGTTGCAGGTGACGGTAAAATACCACGTAACCGTCTCCTGTTTAAATAATCCCCTCTATACAGATGCTATGGAGGGAAGAGGACGTTTGAATTAGACCACGAAACCTGGTCCCAAGCAGTTAAACGCTTGTTAACATATGCCGGCTTGTGAACTCGTATTTTTAACATAATGGAAATTATGACAGCTTTACACACTGCATCTTTCTTATGCTTATTCAGTTTGATTCACGACCTGCACCTGGTCCTACAATAAGCCAGCTGTCAACTGGATCATGACAAATTGTAGTCGTAAAGCCAACGCATCACGCAGCGTAACCGCTTGCTTGATATGCTTTGGCATGACCGCACCGAAATGCTCAGAGTATCATACTGTACTCTTCATAAGTAAGCGAGTTGCACCCGTTTCTCGACTGGTGTCACTGAAGAACCTCGAGATTTCTTACTTAAGGCGCCACAGTCAGACGTGCAACCCACGTGCCATCGTCCCCATACCCATATTAGATCACAAACCTACGGTCATTTTCAACATAGCATACTGAGGAACAACAAGTGCTTCGGTATCAAAATCTGCCTACCGGCCCAAGTGTCTTCATAATCAGCGAAGTTGACGCCGAACCTCAGAGCCGGTGCCACAAAGTAGACGTAAATCGCTTTGAGAATTTCCCATGCCAGGCGAACGGATCGATAAGCGAACCACACGTACAGTAAATGCCAGAGGTAATGCAGGATCGTTGCCAGGAACATGTTCTTCTGCGTGACGGTGAGCTCGGAGAATAAACGGCGCTTCACTGGCCCCCTCGACGAACACCAACCGAGGCAACTGAGATTTCACAACACCGAACACAGGTTTAGACTGATGTTATGCCGCCACAGGCATACAGCATACAGAGAGCACCGACACGCCTAGGTTACGCGAATAGCCATCGGCAACTGAAATGCTGCTGAAACGAAACTGCTGTAGATCGTCTCGGCATGTTCGCCAACACAGCCTCCGGCCACATTGTACGGTCAGCCCATGCAAAAACACTAAACGGCCAGTGAACTGCAACCAGTTTCGTGTTGTTCACACTTCTGACTATGCCGGTCGCGTGGCATATTCACGGAATAGAGGTCA